GAAATAGTATGGTATAAATTTCAAAAGGTTTCTATGACGGCTAAGCCTCGCAAATAGTCCGTAAACTCTGAGTAATATTCTGATATAGGTCATAGATATTTCGATTGGTGTATGTCTTTAATGGGCCTCCGTACAAAAAGTAAGCAAGACAGCAACTTAGTGATTTGATATTTCGAATGAGTGTGAGATAGTATGGTATAAATTTCAAAAAGTTTCTAGGACGGAAATTGCCCGTAAACTCTGAGTAATATACTCATATAGGCCATATATATGTCGATTAGTGTGTCTTCAATGGGCCTCCGTACAGAAAGTTAGTAAGACAGCAACTTGGTGATTCTATATTTGGAATGGGGACTAGTGTGAGATAGTATGGTATAAATTTCAAAATGTTCCTATGACTCGGAAATTGCCCGTAAACTCTGAATAATATTTTGATATAGGTCATATATATTTCAATTGGTGTATGTCTTTAATGGGTCTCCGTACAAAAATAAGGGAGACAGCAACTTGGTGATTTGATATTTCGAATGAGGACTAGTGTGAGATAGCATGGTATAAATTTCAAAAAGTTTCTATGACGGCTAAGCCTTGAAAATTGCCCGTAAACTCTGAGTAATATACTCACATGTCGATTAGTGTGTCTTCAATGGGCCTCCGTACAAAAAGTAAGGGAGACAGCAACTTAATGATTTGATATTTCGAATGAGGACTAGTGTGAGATAGTAAAGTATGAATGTCAAAAAGTTCCTATGACGGCTAAGCCTTTTAATTTGCTGTTTAAATTTGGTAAGTTTCCGCTTCCATAAAAAAAATATGTATTAAATGGGCCACAGTACAAAGACTAAGAGAGTTAGACATATACGTGTTTGTGAAATTGAAAGAATTCTTATGTGTATTTGTCATAAAAAAAAATTAAGTTATTTTAACAATATTTAAGTTTGAAATAATTCAGATTTCATATCCGGTCGATTTGCCGCGAATGTGTATGCTGAGACGATTCGACCCGAATCTGTATGCTAGTTGAATGTGTATGCCAAGTTCAGCCCGGTACTTATTTGACTGTATCACTAACAATTTCAGTGAAAACTCTTTTTTTTCAAACTGATATTTCCACACTAACCATGAAACTCACCTGTTGTTCGACGTTGTCGTTTTAGCAAACACAAGGATTTCTTATTTAATGATTACAAATGTCTTCTAGTTCTCACAAAATAATCATTTTGGATAAGTTAAAGTATGGAGTTTGTTTACATCTGTTACTTCCGGTTGGCTTAAATTTATTTACAGTCCAAAACAGAGTCAAGGATATTCATAATTATTTTCAAGCCAAATTTATCTAGATGTGAAAGGGTAAAAGGGTGGCATGTCTTGGTAAACAAATATCATTATCACGCTTAACCAGGTTTGAAAATTAATGCGAGCGAATGAAATCCTATTTTAAAAGGCCCAACTAACACGAGCAGAGAGAGGCTTTCGTAACATTGCTTAACCGCAAAATTTCTAAAAACAAGCACAAACAAATGTAGGCTAAATAAGTGCAAATTAAAGTAAGCAAGCACATTTAGAAAAAGCGCAAATAATGACAAGCAAGCGCATTTAATGGTAAAACAAACACAGAACATGAATCATAATATAATATCGATTCATTGAAGTAGAATAGTGCTCATAAGACCCGGAGTCAATCAGAAATATTGTGACTTAGCCTACTCCAGTGACTGACTTTTGCAGCCAGTTGAAAATTTAAACCAGTTGAAAAAGATGTGACGGATTTTTTCAACTGCTATGCAAATAACTCAAAGCGCTTTTCAGTTATTAACTATATAATTGTATGTACCGGTACGTGTATTATAAATAATATGCATAACACACAGTAACCTATATTCGTTCAACATGAATTATTTTTTATTATAGGGCCTACCGGTATCTGAGAAGTTTCCTCAGGGATCATATATTCTACAAAATAATTAAAATTGGTTTGTTTCGATTTCCTTTATGAATCCCTCACATTGACCCATATTTTATCAGTAACAAACTCAACAACGGCGGCAAAATGCGTCACCTATTTTCGTGTATAGTGTTGGATCTGTAAATAAGTCGAGAAAAACACGTTGTATGTTACCCAACGGTAGAATTAGCGTAGTAGCGTGATATATTGCTAAAAATCATCGAAACAACATAATGGCCCACATTGTGTTCTATAGAATTTTTCTGCTGACACGGAATCCGACAGTTGATCACGTGAAGGAAATTCGGCGGAAAATTTTTTTTGAGTTTTGGTAATAACTGAAATCCGCCATTTTGCAATTGTCAAAGTATACATGTAAATTATTAATCATTTCTGGAGATACACGAAAAATAGGTTAGCACGAAATTAGGTTACTTGACTGTACTTGAATGAATTCAGCTAACTGTTGAATAAAGGAACTTTTAAAAGAGATATGAATTTAATTTATGAAGCAAAGTGGCACTAATAGTATAATACTACACATTCTATGCATAATAAAAGCTTGATTGTTGATTGTAAGTCAGTAAAGTACACCTTCACTAAAGGACCATTAAACTTAACTTCGCAGAAAGATATGCTGAAAAAAGTTTTAAGTGGTGAGCACCATATTGTATTATAAAATTAGTTGCATAAGGGTTTTCAACTAGTTGAAAAAATCTCAACCTTGACCGGTGAATACAATACGACTGACCACTAGCACTTGCACACGACTTGGACTTTCTACGTTTCAATGTAAATTGTTCCTTTAATGATTTAGAAGTGATTTCTGTCTGATCTGGAAATCTTTGTATGGAAGGGGGCTAACTCTTAATAAAGCTTACAAGATGACCCATAATTTATTTAATAGTTTTGTGAATGAAATTATTGATTGGCATGTAGATTATAATAAATTGGTCTTAGTCAAGTCCGTATTTCATATTGTTTTATGACTATAAAATTCAATGACTTTGAGGTTATCATCAAACTCACTGAATTTCTTGATGCCATGGTACATTGGTTAACATCTTATCAACGTACACAAGGCTGAGCCTCTGATGCCCTCGACCCATTGGTAAAGTGACTTTCCCAATGTCATGGAACCGTTGTTAAAGGTGTAATCGACAAATGCAACACAGCGGAGCCAAAGTGCGGCAGAGGGAGGGGACATTTTACCCCTTCCCCTCGGATGTAAACCTGGCTCAGCCACGGATGCAACAGTGAGTCTCGTGATTCCCTGGACCCATTGTAAAGGAGTGATTGTCCGATGCAACAGTGAGTCTCTCGATGTCCTGGCTGGAACCAATTACTAGTGAGTTTCCTGATACTTTGGAACCATTGATAAAGTTGTAATCGACTAGCCAACCTAATAGTGAATTTCCTGATGCCCTGGATCAATTTGTAAAGATGTAATCGACTGGTCAACCCAATAGTGAGTTTCCTGATGCTTTGGAACCATTGATAAAGATGTAATCGACTAGCCAACCTAATAGTGAATTTCCTGATGCCCTGAATCAATTTGTAAAGATATAATCGACTAGCCAACCCAATAGTGAGTTTCTTGATGCTCTGGAACTATTGGTAAAGATGTAATCGACTAGCCAACAAATAGTGAGTTTCCTAATGCTCTGGAACTATTGGTAAAGATGTAACCGACTAGCCAACAAAATAGTGAGCTTCCTGATACTTTGGAACCATTGGTAAAGATGTAATCGACTAACCAACCTAATAGTGAGTTTCATGATGCTGTGGAACCATTTGTAAAGGTGTAATCGACTAACCTAACAGTTTGATGTAATTGTAGAACGAAATTTGATTATGACATTATTTGTTGAAGGAAAACAAATATTTTTACTTTTTCCTTTTATTTTAGGTTCATAAATCCAGATTCGCCTGTCCAACTGCTATAATTGTACAAAGCATGATGACATAAAACTCTTAGACAATTTTATTATGGGGCCCATCAGAATTTACAATCTTGGTTAAGAATATATGCAAAGATTCATTCCATTGTGGACTCTTAAAAACACTTTAAAGTTTAATAAATAATTTTTATTAACTAATACAGGTTACTCATACCATAGAAAACAACATCTAAAAACAGCATTTTACACCAAAAACCGTAGAACAAACTGCATATCTGTTGAATCTGTTAATTTCCTTTTGGACAGATTGTAATATGATCATATAAGAAACACTGGGCCCAGTTTGAGTTAGCATTAGAGCTAACTTTTAACAGATTAATTTATAAAATAAAATATTCACAGAATTGTACATGGCATGACTTTAAATTACTTATGCCCCCATGTCAAGAACTTATTTTTGAAATGATCAGAGTTACATTACTGAATTACAGAATACAAAAGAGAAATAAAATAACAAATTATTATAAAGCGTGAAGCATGAAAAATAAGTGGAAAGTATTCAACCTTATTTATTAGCAATATGATTGAAAACCATTTCAATGTTGTATAGGTTAGAGTTAAGATACCAAAAATTTCAAGGAAACTAAAATTTGTTCCCATCATTTCAATACAAAATATATAAAAAAATACAATATTCTTGAAATTCTTCTTTATAATTTGAATATAATAATTTCTCCTCTTTTTCCCTTAAAAAAACCCGTTTTCGGGACCTTGCGGACGAAAAAGACAGTGTCCGAACAGTAATGGTTGCCCGTAGGCCAACTCGTATCAGGATATACTACTCCTTATACATTGTGCATCCACAATGTAGTCTTACTTAAAATCATCAAGGTAAGATAGACATACACAAAGAAGCACATGTTTTACTTGATATTTTCAAAAATGTTTTCAGAAAATTTCCATACAATTACATTAATACACTTTTCGGAAAATTAAACAGTACTTCAAGTGAGTATTCATCTGCTAGGATGAAAAAGCAGTTCTTTTTACATTGAAAACTTTATGAATATGAAAAGTAGTTTTCAGCAAAATAATCTATGATAAATTAACTTGTTGAAAATATTCACAACTTTATACATAGTAATCTTTCTTCTTCAATCAAAATAATAATCATCTTTTATTCTTTTACATAAACATATAGAAAACACCATTCCCATAACCTGAAATATACAATATAAGGCCAACTGTTCTATATTCAAGGAAATTATTCAATATTTTATATAAATTTCTATTCCAACGAATACAAATTGATCATGTATTTAATTGAGTCATATGGTAGA